TAAACTTAAAACTCTCATTTTCTTTCGTAGATTCAATCTTTATAGATTAAAAAGGTTTAGTGACATAATAGGTACCGTGAATGAGGTAATTTCATTCAAAGATTCATCTTTACTCATTAAAACACTCTTCGTGATGTCAAAGGGAAGTTGAACACAAAACAATAATTTTCTTCCAAAGATTTAATCTTTATACATTAAAAAAGGTGTAGTGATATAATGGGTGCCTTGATTGAGGTATTTTCATTCAAAGATGCAATATTTTACTCATTAAAACACTCATCGTGAGGTCAAAGGGAACTCAAAGAAGTTTAACTCAAAACTCTCATTTTCTATCAGAGATTTAATCTTTATACATTAAAATGTCTTAATGACAAAATAGGTACCTTAATTAAGGCATTTTCATCCAAGGATTCAATCTTTACTCATTAAAACACCCTTCGGGACGTCAAAGGGAACTTGAATAAGTTTAAGTCAAAAGTCCTAAAAAGATCTAGTGACATAGTAGGTACCTTGATTGAGGTATTTTCATTCAAAGATTCAATCTTTAGTCATTAAAACACTCTACGCGAATTCATAGGGAACTCGAATAGGTTAAACTCAAAACAATCATTTTCTTTCAAAGATTCAATCTTTATATATTAAACGGTCTAGTGACATAGTAGGTACCTTGATTGAGGAAATTTCATTCAAAGATTCAATTTTACTGGTTAAAACACTCATCGTGATGTCAAGGGGAACACGAATAAGTTTAACTTGAAACTCTCATTTTCTATCAAAGATTTAATCTTTATATATTAAAATGTTCCAGTGACAAAATAGGTACCTTAATTGTGGCATTTTTATCCAAGGATTCAATCTATAATCATTAAAACACCCTTCGGGACGTCAAAGGGAACTTGAAAATGTTTAAGTAAAAACTCTCATTTTATTTCAAAGATTCAATCTTTATACATTAAAAAAGTCTAGTGACATAATGGGTACCTTGATTGAAGTATTTTCATTCAAAGATTCAATCTTTACCCATTAAAACACTCATCGTGATGTCCAAAGAAACTCGAATAAGTTTAACTCAAAACAGTCATTTTCTTTCAAAGATTTAATCTTTATACATTAAAATGATCTACTGACATAATAGGTAGCTTAATTTAGTTAATTTCATTTAAAGATTCAATATTACTCATTAACAGACTATTCGGGACGTCAAAGGGAAATCGAATAAGTTTAACACAAAACTCTAATTTTCTTTCAAAGATTCAATCTTTATACTTTAAAAAGGTCTAGTGAGACAATTGGTACCTTTATTGAGGAGATTTCTTTCAAAGATTCTATCTTTACTCCTTAAAACACTCATTATGATGTCAAAGGTAACTCGAATATGTTACTCAAAACTCTCATTCAAAGGGACCTTGAATAAGTTTAAGTCAAAACTCTCATTTTATTTCAAAGATTCAATTTTTATACATTAAAAACGTCTAGTGATATAATGGGTACCATAATTGAAGTATTTTTATTCAAATATTCAGTCCATAGTCATTAAAACACTCTTCGTTACTTCATTGGGAACTCGAATAAGTTAAATTTAAAACTCTCATTTTCATTCAAAGATTCAATTTTTATACATTAAAAAGGTCTATTGACATAATAGGTACCTTCATTGAGGTAATTTCATTCAAAGATTCAATCTTTACTTCTTAAACACTCATCGTGATGTCCATGAGAATTCGAATAAGTTTAACTCAAAACACTCACTTTCTTTCAAAGATTTAATCTTTATACATTAAAATAATCTACTGACATAATAGGTACCTTTATTCAATTAATTTCATTCAAAAATTCAATCTTACTCATTAAAATACTCTTCGGGACGTCAAAGTAAACTCGAATAAGTTTAACTCGAAACTCTCATTTTCTTTCAAAGATTCAATCTTTATACATTAAAAAGGTCTACTGACACAATCGGAACCTTTATTGAGGAGATTTCATTCAAAGATTCTATCTTTACTCCTTAAAACACTCTTCGTGATATCAAAGGTAACTCGAATAAGTTTAACTCAAAACTCTTATTTTATTTCAAAGATTTAATCTTCATACGTTAAAAAGGTCTAGTGACATAATAGATACCATGATTGAAGTATTTTCATTCAAAGATTCAATCTTTATCCACTAAAACACGCTACGCGACATCGTAGGAAACTCGAATAAGTTAAACTCAAAACTCTCATTTTCTTTAAAAGATTCAATCTTTTAAAAGGTCAAGTGACTTAATAAGTACCTGGATTGAGGTAATTTTGTTCCAAAATTCAATCTTTACTCATTAAAACACTATTCGTGACGTCAAAGGGAACTCGAATAAGTTGAACTCAAAACTCTCATCTTCTTTCAAAGATTCAATCTTTATGAATTAAAAAGTTCAAGTGACCTAATTTGTACCTTGATTGAGGTATTTTCATTCAAAAATCCATTCTATAGTCATTAAAACACTCTTTGCGACTTCATAGGGAAATTGAATAAGTTAAACTCAAAATTCTCATTTCGTAATATCAAAGGTAACTCGAATAAGTTTAACTCAGAACTCTCATTTTCTTTCAAAGATTTAATCTTTATACATTAAAATTGTCTTGTGACATAATAGGTACATTGATTGAGATATTTTCGTTCAAAAATTCAATCTTTAGTCATTAAAAAAACGCTTCGCGACTGCATAGGTAACTCGATTAAGTTAAACTCAAAACTCACATTTTCTTTCAAATATGCAATCTTTATAAATTAAAAAGATCAAGTGACATAATAGGTATCGTGATTCAGGTAATTTCATTCAAAGATTTAATCTTTACTGATTAAAGTACTTGTCATATGCTGAATTTTATTAGCTCTTTAATTATCATTATGAGCTTCTTAATATTTGTTTGAGCTTAAATACTTATATTTAATTGCATTGGAAAATAAAATAAGAAAATTCATTTTTATTTTTATTTTTAAGTATGAGAATTGTTCACAAATTTCGTGGTACGTGGTATATAGAAGTAATTTTATATATTGTTATATTCATGTGTGTGGTATCAATTAAAAAGTTGCTACAGTTTATGGTAACTAATGGAAGAAATAAGAATAATTAAAATAAATGAAGTGGGTATGTATACTAAGTGTATGGGTTTGGCTGAAACTAGTGCGTGGTGGAAGTGGTGTGATGGTTAGAAGAATAATTTTAAATTATATTATTATGATAAAGCTTATCACATAAGCTTTGTAGTTGACCAAATATATAGTACAGATACATATGTGTAGGAGTAAACTGCTGGAACAAGTTTAAAGCATATCACACCTACACCTGTATGTCAGGATATAATAAATTCTACAAGTTTCCTTTAGAAGCTATTAGTAACTAGCACAGATGAGTCACGAAAAAGGAAAAACAAAAGGAACATTGAAGTGACACGTGGTATAAAGAAAATAGTGAAGCTTACTTTTGAAACCTTCTAGTTTTATGGATTTTACAAATGAAAAAAAAAAAAAAAAGAAAGAGAAATTCGTGTGAGAGAAAGAGAGAAAAACAGAAAAGAGGAGAAAAGCAAAAGAAGAGAAGGATTTCGTATGGGTAGAGAGAGGAAAGAAAGAGAAGGAAGGAAATTGTAGATACTGAAGGTAGGAAGTTTCACAATTGAAATTTTAATTCTTAAATTGTATGAATTAATATAGTTGTTACTCTTTAAACTGTTAGGTTGAGATTTTATATAAATAATGGTGATGACAACTTTGTTCATATTTATATTAGAAATTTATTTTGGAAGTGAAGATTATTATTAAATTCTTGTAAAAACAAGTGTAACATAGTTATGAGAGGTGTTGTATAAATTGCAATTATATGCTTATTTGAACTAATTCAAATATGAATGGAATTGAGAAGTTGTATGAAGGATGTGATTAGAATTTTAGCTGTAATTTTGTATAAGTTTGAGATTGATAATGAAAGTGATAATTGTGATTTATTTTTCTTTAGGAATGGGTGAGATGTGATTTCAATTTTGTTCAGGCAAAGAGAAGGAGTAGACAATTTCAACAATACCAAAGGATAAGTGAATAATTTGGGAAGTGGCCAAGGTGAGTGTACTCACTGAAAGTTTTACACTTGAATGTGTTAAATTGAAGTATTGAAGTTGTTATGTGATATGAAGACGCATAGATATATAACTTGAATATATTATATAAGGTCCATACTCTGACCTAGAAGGAGAGTAATATATTATATAAGGTCCATACTCTGACCTAGAAGGAGAGTACTACATTAAATAAGATCCATACTCTGGCTAAGAAGGAGAGTATTATATTTAAATAAGGTCTATACTCTGGCCTAGAAGGAGAGTACTATATTTTTTAAATGCTTGTAAAGTTGGAAGTTATATCTTATAAAGTTAAATTGAAGTTAGCAGATAATATTTGTTTATATTATTCTGATGTAGTAGTGTTGCATTCACTGGGCTTTAAGCTCACTCATTCCATATCTAATTTTCCGGTACAAGGTTGGGTCGCTACTGCTAGGTCTAGAATCTTGAGTGGGAATGGGGAAAAGAACAATAGAACATCCTTTGTTTAAGATGTAAATATTGTAATAGAATTTAATAGTGTAACTTGTCGTTAATGTTTTAGTTTGTCAGAATTTGCATAACAAGCCTAGATATTTTGTTTTAAATTGTAAACTGTTAAGCAAGTACTCTAATGTATGATGATGTCATGTTGAATGAGGTTAATGCAGATGGTTGGATACATTCCAATTTGTTCAATTTATTAAATAGTGTAAATTGGGTTGGGGTGTGACAACTTTTGGTATCAGAGCTTAGGTTTTATAGGTTCTAGAGGTAATACGAGTCTAGAGTGGCAGTGACAGTAGGAAGTGTGTAGTACAATCATTTCTTTGACTTGATTTTATACTAACAAATATATGTGGTGATTATGTATCATATATATATGCTATTATATTTGAGATTCATTGCAGATAAAAAGTAATGGAAAGAGGAAGTGGTTATCATAGAATCGAGGAAGAAGCCTCTTGTGTTCCTATTGAGGCTGAAGTGGAACAACCTATTCAGGGTGATATGAAAAGAGAACAGGAGTACTTAACTGGTATGCAGAAAATGAAGAAGGCGATAACAGACTTGGTAGAATAAAACAAACAGCTTATGGTAAGTCAAATGATGATACAAGAAAGGCAGGAAAGACAACTGAAAGGAAAGAAAGATTGAGATTATGAGAGGTTTATCAAGTTAACACCCCCAGAATTTTCAGGTACTACCAAACCAGAAGAAGCTGAGGGGTGGGTAAGAAGAATGGAATCAATATTTGCAGTGATGGGTGCAGCAGAAGACCAGAAGGTAAACTTAGCTACATTTATGTTAAAAAATGAAGCTAGTTATTGGTGGGACACGACAAAACATTTATTGCTCACTCCAGGAGAGAAAGAGGTGATATTCTGGAATCTATTTGTTAAAGCTTTTTATGAGAAATATTTTCCTCCAATTTATAGAAAAGAGAATGAACTGGAGTTTGTTCTCCTAAAACAAGATAGAATGTCTGTAGTTGATTCTGAAGTGAACTTTACAGCTTTATCGAGGTTTGCACCCAAGTTTGTACAGAATGAAGAAGATAAATGTACAAAATTTCAGGATGGTTTAGAGGCGGCTATTAAATCCAGAGTTTCAGTGTTTAAGGAAACATATTACAACAGACTTGTGAATAAAGCCATGATTGCCGAAAGGGATGTGAAAGAATTGCAAGAAAGAAGGGAAGAATACAAAAGAAATAGATCTGAGCCATCACAATCAAGAGGGAGTAAAGGAATTTCAAGTCAGAAAAGTCAAAGGTCGCGGTATGGAAGGGGAAGGGGTAGTGAATATCAAAGGCAGATGTCAGGTATTGGAAGAGGTCAAGGGTTTTCCGCACAACAATCTGTACAACAAGGTAGCTTTGGAGGACGTCGTACTGGCAGGGGGTGTTTTCAGTGTGGAAGGAAAGGTCACCAGAAGAAAGATTGTCCTGTGTTGAAAGCAGAAGAGTGTTATCATTGCCATCAGCTGGGTCATCGGAAGAGAGATTGTCCTATGTTGATAGGAGTGACCTCAGTGGGTTGCTAGTTCTGGTAAAGGTTTTGCACAAGGGAGCTCGTCAAGAGGAGGTAGGGATGCTACAAGTGGTTCGCAAGCCCAGGGAAGAGTGTTTGCTATGACACTTCAGGATGCTCAAGCAACACTAGAAGTGGTGACAGGTACACTTTCTATTTTGGATAGAAATGTTACTGTGCTTATTGATCCTGGTTCAACCCATTTATTTGTTGCATCATCTATTGCTATGCATTTGGGTAGACCACTTTCATCATTAGATAGTAAATTTCTTATTTCTACACCAATGGGGGAAGTGGTAGTGGTTGCAAATGAGTATAGATATTGTGTATTACAATTGGGGGATAGAGAGTTAAAGGTAAATTTGATACCATTGGGTATACCAGACTTTGATATCATTTTGGGTATGAATTGGCTATCTGCGTATCATGCTTCAATAGACTATTTTCGGAAAGAAGTTATATTTCAGATACTAGGAGAGCCAGAATTCAGATTTACCGGAGAAAGAAATGTTATTCCAAACTGTCTTATCTCAGCTATACAAACCAGAAAGTTGTTGAAGAAAGGGTGTCAGGGTTACTTGGCTTATGTGGTTGATATTGAAAATAAAGAGGTGACACTTGAAAATGTACCAGTGGTACGGGAATTCATAGATGTGTTTCCAGAAGAATTATCGGGGTTGCCAGTGGAAGGGAGGTAGATTTTACCATTGAGTTGGTACCAGGAACAGCTCCAATTTCTATTGCTCCGTATCAAATGGCACCGACAGAATTGAAAGAGTTGAAGATACAGTTGAAAGATTTACTGGATAAGGGCTTCATTCGACCTAGTATTTCACCGTAGGGTGCACCAGTGTTATTTGTTAAGAAGAAGGATAGTACTATGCGGTTGTGTATTGACTACAGACAGTTAAATAAAGTAACCATCAGGAACAAGTATCCATTGCCACGAATTGATGATCTGTTTGATCAGTTGCAAGGGGCGAAGGTGTTTTCTAAGATTGACTTGAGGTCAGGATATCATCAGTTGAAAGTAAAGGATAGTGACATCTCTAAAACTGCTTTTCGAACTCGATATGGCCAATATGAGTTTTTGGTAATGCCTTTTGGGTTAACCAATGCTCCAGCGGTGTTTATGGATTTAATGAATCGAGTATTTCATCCGTATATTGACTCATTTGTTATTGTCTTCATTGATGATATTTTGATATATTCTCGAAGTGTGGATGAACATGAAAATCATTTAAGAATTGTGCTACAGATTTTACGGGAGAAATAACTTTTTGCTAAGTTCAGCAAATGTGAGGTTTGGCTTAATAAAGTTGTATTTTTGGGGCATGTCGTATCTGGGGATGGTATTTATGTTGACCCATCAAAAGTAGAAGCAGTGGTGAAATGGAAAAAAGCCTACTAATGTGACAGAAGTCAGAAGTTTTCTGGGATTGGCAGGTTATTATAGAAGGTTCATTCAAGGGTTTTCTAGTATTGCACTGCCATTAACGAAGCTGACCCAAAAGGAAGTAAAGTTTGTGTGGAGTGAAGAATGCCAAAGAAGTTTTGAAGAATTGAAGAAAAAGTTAACGTCAGCCCCAGTGTTAACTATTCCGTGTGGTGGTGAAGGTTTTGTGATTTATTCTGATGCTTCACATTAGTGCTTGGGTTGTGTTTTGATGCAAAATGGCAAGGTAATTGCATATGCTTCTAGACAATTGAAGAATCATGAATTGAATTATCCTACACATGACTTGGAGTTAGCTACTATTGTTTTTACTTTAAAATTGTGGAGGCATTATCTAGATGGTGAAATTTGTGAAATATTCACTGATCATCAGAGTTTGAAGTATTTGTTTACACAGAAAGACTTAAATTTGAGACAAATACGTTGGATGGAGTTAATCAAAGATTATGATTGTAATATTCACCATCATCCTGGAAAAGCCAATGTAGTAGCAGATGCTTTGAGTAGAAAATCTTCAGGGAGACTATCTTGTGTACAGTGTGCACGGGTGGCAAATATTATGGAGTTGAGATTGATGGGAGTTGAATTAACAGTTACTAATAAAGGAGCATTGTTTGCATATGTTACGGTGAGACCTTTGCTGCTAAATCGAATTAAAGAGTTGCAAATTCATGATGCATTCCTGGATAAGAAAAGAAGAGAAGCTCAAGAAGGTATGCAAACTGAATTTACAGTTAGGGATGATGGGACTTTGTATTTTAAAAGTCGAATTTGTGTTCCAAATAATGTTTCTTTGAAGAAAGATATTTTAGATGAAGCCCACAATTCTATATATGCTATGCATCCGGGGAGTACTAAAGTGTACAGAGATTTGAAGAAATACTATTGGTGGAACAATATGAAGCGAGAAATTGCAGAATTTGTAGCAAAGTGTATGGTATGTCAACGAGTGAAAGCTGAACATTAGAAACCAGCGGGGTTGTTGCAGCCGTTACCAGTTCCACAGTGGAAATAGGAGCATATAACCATGGATTTTGTTACGGGACTTCCCAGATCAAAACGGGGACATGACTCCATTTGGGTGATAGTTGATAGGTTGATGAAATCAGCTCATTTTCTGGCAGTGAAAACTACTTATTCTACAAAGGAATATGCTCGTTTGTATATTGATGAAATCATATGTTTGTATGGGGCTCCAGTTTCTATTGTCTGTGACAGAGATCCGAAGGTCACTTCGAGATGTTGGTGTTGTTTGCATGAAGCCATGAAAACTTCTTTAAAGTTCAGTACAGCTTTTCACCCGCAGATAGATGGGTAGTCAGAACGAACTATTCAGATTTTGGAAGATATGTTGAGAGCTTGTGTGCTGGATTTCAAAGGTAGTTGGGATGATTATTTACCGTTGATTGAATTTGCCTATAATAATAGTTATCAGTCTACTATTGGGATGGCACCGTATGAAGCTTTGTATGGGAAAAAATGTAGAACTCCATTGTGTTGGGGTGAAGAGGGTGAAAAAAAGTTATTTGGTCCAGAATTGATTGAACTTACAACAGAAAAAGTGAGGGTAATTCAGCAACGTATGAAAATAGCACAAGATAGATAGAAAAGTTATGTTGATGTGCGAAAAAGAAGAGATTTGGAATTTGAAGTTGGTGATTTTGTTTTTCTTTGTATTTCTCCTTGGAAAGGTATTATGAGATTTGGGAAGAAGGGTAAATTAAGTCCCAGGTACATTGGACCTTACAAAATTCTGGAACGGATAGGAGCAGTGGCGTATCAGTTGGAATTACCAGAAGAATTATCAAGATTACATGACGTCTTCCATGTGTCTATGCTTCGGAAGTATATATTGAATCCATCTCACGTTTTAGTTATGAAACCAATAGAGTTGAAGGAGAATTTAACTTATGTAGAGGAACAGGTACAGATTTTGGATCACCAGGAACAAGTGCTTCGAAATAAATTTATACTACTGGTAAAAGTTTTATGGAGGAGTCATACGGTTGAAGAAGCGACTTGGGAAAGTGAAGAAGTTATGAGAATACAATATCCTCACTTGTTCGGTATGTTTCATGCAATTTAATTTCGAGGACGAAATTTATTTTAAGAGGGGTAGATTGTCATATCCTGAATTTTATTAGCTCTTTAATTATCATTATGAGCTTCTTAATATTTATTTGAGCTTAAATACTTATATTTAATTGCATTGGAAAATAAAATAAGAAAATTCATTTTTATTTTAATTTTTAAGTATGAGAACTGCTCACAAATTTTGTGGTACGTGGTATCTAGAAGTAATTTTATATATTGTTATATTCATGTGTGTGGTATCAATTAAAAAGTTGATACAGTTTCTGGTAACTAATGGAAGAAATAAGAATAATTAAAATAAATGAAGTGGGTATGTTTACTAAGTGTATGGGTTTGGCTGAAACTAGTGCGTGGTGGAAGTGGTGTGATGGTTAGAAGAATAATTTTAAATTATATTATTATGATAAAGCTTAAGTTAGCTTTGTAGTTGACCAAATATATAGTACAGATATATATGTGTAGGAGTAAACTGCTAGAACAAGTTTAAAGCATATCACACCTACACCTGTATGTCTAGATATAATAAATTTTACAAGTTTCCTTTAGAAGCTGTTAGTAACTAGCACAGATGAGTCACAAAAAAGGAAAAAACAAAAGGAACATTGAAGTGACACGTGGTATAAAGAAAATAGGGAAGCTTACTTTTGAAACCTTCTAGTTTTACGGATTTTACAAATGAAAAAAAAAAAAAAAAAAAAAAAAAGAGAGAGAGAGAAATTCATGTGAGAGAAAGAGAGAAAAACATAAAAGAGGAGAAAAGCAAAAGAAGAGAAGGATTTCGTATGGGTAGAGAGAGGAAAGAAAGAGAAGGAAGGAAATTGTAGATACTGAAGGTAGGAAGTTTCTCAATTGAAAGTTTAATTCTTAAATTGTATGAATTAATATAATTGTTACTCTTTAAACTGTTAGGTTGAGATTTTATATAAATAATGGTGATGACAACTTTGTTCATATTTTTATTAGAAATTTATTTTGGAAGTGAAGATTATTATTAAATTCTTGTAAAAACAAGTATAACATAGTTATGAGAGGTGTTGCTATTATATGCTTATCTGATCTAATTCAAATATGAAATTTAGTAATGAATAGTAGGAGGGAATGATGGAATTGAGAAGTTGTATTAAGGATGTGATTAGAATTTTAGCTATAATTTTGTATAAGTTTGAGATTGATAATGAAAGTGATAATTGTGATTTATTTTTCTTTAGAAATGGGTGGGATGTGATTTCAATTTTGTTCAGGCAAAGAGAAGGAGCAGACAATTTCAACAATACCAAAGGATAAATGAATAATTTAGGAAGTGGCCAAGGTGAGTGTACTCACTGAAAGTTTTACACTTGAATGTGTTAAATTGAAGTATTGAAGTTGTTATGTGATATGAAGACGCATATATATATAACTTGAATATATTGTATAAGGTCCATACTCTGGCCTGGAAGGAGAGTAATATATTATATAAGGTCCATACTCTGGCCTGGAAAGAGAGTACTACATTAAATAAGATCCATATTCTAGCCAAGAAGGAGAGTATTATATTTAAATAAGGTCCATACTCTGGCCTAGAAGGAGAGTACTATATTTTTTAAATGCCTGTAATGTTGGAAGTTATATCTTATAAAGTTAAATTGAAGTTAGCAGATAATATTTGTTTATATTATTCTGATGTAGTAGTGTTGCATTCACTGGGCTTTAAGCTCACTCCTTCCATATCTAATTTTCAGGTACAAGGTTGGGTCGCTACAGCCAGGTCTAGAATCTTGAGTGGGAATGGCGAAAAGAACAATAGAACATCCTTTGTTTAAGATGTAAATATTGTAATAGAATTTAATAGTGTAACTTGTCGTTAATGTTTTAGTATGTCAGAATTTACATAACAGGCCTAGATATTTTGTTTTAAATTGTAAACTATTAAGCAGGTACTCTGAGCAATGATGATGTCATGTTGAATGAGGTTAATGCAGATGGTTGGATACATTACAATTTGTTCAATTTATTAAATAGTGTAGATTGGGTTGGGGTGTGACAGTACTCTTCGTGACTTCAAAGGGAACTTGAATAAGTTTAACTCAAAACTCTTATTTTCTTTCAAAGATTCAATCTTTATATATTATAAACGTCTAGTGATATAATGGGTACCTTGATTGAGGTATTTTCATTCAATGATTCAATCTTTAGTCATTAAAACAAACTTTGGAACTTCATAGGGAACTCGAATAAGTAAAACTCAAAACTCTCATTTTCTTTCATAGATTCAATCTTTATACATTAAAAAGGTCTAGTTACTTAATAGGTACCGTGAATGAGCTAATTTCATTCAAAGATTCACTTTTACTCATTGTCAAAGGGAACTCGAATAAGATGAACATAAAACACTAATTTTCTTCCAATGATTCAATCTTTATACGTTAAAAAAGGTCTAGTGACATAATGGGTACATTAATTGAGGTATATTCATTCAAAGATTCAATCTTTACTCCTTAGAACACTCTTCGTGATTTTAAAGGGAATTCAAATAATTTTAACTGAAAACTCTCATTATCTTTCAAAGATTTAATCTCTATACATTAAAAAGCTCTAGTGACATAGTAGGTACCTTGATAGAGGTATTTTCATTCAAAGATTCAATTTTTAGTCAATAAAACATTCTACAAGACTTCATAGGTAACTCGAATAGGTTAAACTCAAAACTATTATTTTGTTTCCAAGATTCAATCTTTATATATTAGAATGGTCTAGTGACATAGTAGGTACCCTGATTGAGGTAATTTCATTCAAAGATTCAATTTTATTCATTAAAACACTCTCCATGATGTCAAGGGGAACACGAATAAGTTTAACTCAAAACTCTCATTTTCTATCAAATATTTAATCTTTATTCATTAAAATATTCTAGTGACAAGATAGGTACCTTTATTGAGTTAATTTCATTCAAAAATTCAATCTTACACATTAACATACTCTTCGGGACGTTAAAGGGAATTCGAATAAGTTTTACTCAAAACTCTCATTTTCTTTTAAAGATTCAATGTTTATACATTAAAAAGGTCTCCTAACACAATCAGTACCTTTATTGAGGAGATTTCATTCAAAGATTCTATCTTAACTTCTTAAAATACTATTCATGATGTCAAAAGTAATTCGAATAAGTTTAACTCAAAACTTTCATTTTATTTCAAAGATTTAATCTTAATATGTTAAAAAGGTCTAGTGACATAATAGATACCATGATTGAGGTATTTTCATTCAAAGATTCAATCTTTATCCATTAAAACACACTACGCGACTTCGTGGGGAACACGAATAAGTTAAACTCAAAACTCTCATTTTCTTTAAAAGATTCAATCTTTATACATTAAAATGGTCAAGTGACTTAATTGGTACCTGGATTGAGATAATTTCATTCCAAAATTCAATCTTTACTCATTAAATCACTCATCGTGACGTCAATGGGAACTCGAATAGGTTTAATTCAAAACTCTCATTTTCTTTCAAAGATTAATCTTTATACGTTAAAATGGTCTAATGACATAATAGTTACCTTGATTGAGGTATTTTCATTCAAATATTCAATTGTTACTCATTAAAACACTCTTCGTAACGTCAAAGGGTACTCGAATAAGTTTAACTTAAAACTCTTAAAAAGATCTAGTGACATAATAGGTACCTTTGTTGTGGTAAATTTATTCAGAGATTCAATCTTTACTCCTTAGAACACTCTTCGTGACTTTAAAAGGAATTCGAATAAGTTAACTCAAAACTCTCATTATCTTTCCAACATTTAATCTTTATACACTAAAATATTTTAGAAACATAATAGGTACCTTAATTGAGGAATTTTCATTAAATGATTCAATCTTTACTCATTAAAACACCCTTCGGGACGTCAAATGTAACTTGAATAAGTTTAAGTCAAAACTCTCATCTTATACATTAAAAACGTCTAGTGACATAATGGGTACCTTGATTGAAGTATTTTCTGTCAAAGATTCAATCCATAGATGAAAACACTCTTCAACACGTCATTGGGAACTCGAATAAGTTAAACTCAAAACTCTCATTTTCTTTCAAAGATTCAATCTTTATACATCAAAAAGGTCTATTAACACAATAGGTACCTTGATTGAGATAATTTCATTCAAAGATTCAATCTTTACTCACTAAAACACTCATCGTGACGTCAATGGGAACTCGAATAGGTTTAACTCAAAACGCTCATTTTCTTTCAAGGATTAATCTTTATACATTAAAATGGTCTAGTGACATAATAGGTACCTTGATTGAGGTATTTCCATTCAAATATTCAATCGTTACTCATTAAAACACTCTTCGTAACATCAAAGGGAACTCGAATAAGTTTATCTCAAAACTCTTAAAAAGATCTAGTGACGTAATAGGTACCTATTGTGGTAATTTCATTCAAAGATCAATCTTTACTCCTTAGGACACTCTTCGTGACCTTAAAAGGAATTTGAATAAGTTTAACTCAATACTCTTATTATCTTTCAAATATTTAATCTTTTTATATTAAAAAGAGCTGGTGACAAAGTAGGTACCTCGATAGAGGCATTTTCATTTAAAGATTCAATCTTTAGTCATTAAAAGACTCTATGCGACTTCATAGGTAACTCGAATAGGTTAAACTCAAAACTATCATTTTCTTTTAAAAATTCAATCTTAATATATTAGAACGGTCTAGTGACATAGAAGGTTCCTTGATTGAGGTAATTTCGTTCAATGATTCAATTTTACTCATTAAAACACTCTTCGTGACGTCAAGGTGAACACGAATAAGTTTAACTCAAAACTCTCATTTTCTATAAAAGATTTAATCTTTATACATTAAAATATTCTAGTGATAAAATAGGTACCTTAATTGAGGCATTTTCATCTAAGGATTCAGTCTTTACACATTAAAACACCCTTCGGGACAGTAAAGGGAACTTGAATAAGTTTAAGTCAAAACACTCATTTTATTTCAAAAATTCAATCTTT